TCTACTAAATCATACAAAACGAATTTTATATTCTATAGAAAGTTTTTAGTTTACAATTAAATTTTTAAAACAAATACTTTTTCTTATTAAAACATTTCTTACCTTAATATTAATTTTATAAATAATATGTAATTATAGTAAAGATCATAACAATAATAAAAGCAACATTAAATGTGTTCCTACTCCTATGATATCATTCATTCAAGTAGCCTGTTGAATAATATGTTGGCGTAATTTTCTTTATTGACCAACTTGTGAAATTTCAGAGCAAAACTGAGTAGGACAGAAGAGCGCATATGAAAGAGAAAAATTTAATAAACTTATTAACATTCCGTAATACTTCCGTTCAAGTCAAAAAAAACCTTCTTGTAAACATAAACAGAGAACAATGTCCAACGTAGAATCGTTTATTGCTCAAGTTTTCCGAGATAAAAGTAGAAAAGCAAAATTCCACCAAAAGTGACTCACGATTTAAATAGTAGATAAAAGTGAAACCAGTGAAAAGAGTAAGGTAGGACAATATATACACTGTTGTGGCAATGTTTGGGATATACAACTACTAACAATAAAACTACGCTTTCAAACCAACCCGCCTTGGACCGAAGTGAATGTAAGAGCGTGCATGGATTCGGATCCTGCGCGCGGGATTCACACGGAGCAATACAAAAAGAAATAAATACAAACAAAGAAAAAAGAAAATAGAGAGCATAAAACACGAATCGACTGGTAATAAAAACACGAACAGGAACCCAAAAATTAGTGACAAGAGAATAGGAAAGTGCAGGCTACATGCCCCACACTTCTGTGTAGTACGAGCGGTGTTGAAAATCTTATGTTTAGATCTGAAATTTTAGTTATAAGCAAAAATATGTTTTGAATATATCTTTTATAAGAACTGAACTTAAAAACAGAAAAGATTTTGTGTTCAATTAAAGAGCAGCGTTGAAAGCAATTAAATTAAATTTCTTGCAGACATAATTACAATTAAATTATCGATTTTATACCAATAAACGAAAATAGTGCAGCAAAATTTGTTCGCTTCCACACCTTAAATGATTTTCTTTGCCAGCTTTGACTGTTGTTTCCCATTGTGATGTAAGTACGTGCACAATACTCGATTTACTCGATTTATCCTTTTAATTTCTTTTTATGTTGTTATTTTTTGAAGGAGCAAAAAGAATGCCTTCAAAAATATTTTAAATATTTTTTTCTGTTGCACTTAAATGGGCGTAAAATTTTTTTTTGTTTTTGGTATCACTTCTTCAGACACTACTGCCACATTTTTTTGTATTTCGTATTTTGTGCATTCGCCACAATTTTTACCATTTTTACCATACTGCATAGTAAACTTGCGTTATTTACTTTTTTATTTTGTTTTTAACGAATTCTTATTGCATCACAAAAACCAAAAAGGAATACAAAATTTGCTGCACTTTTGCCCGAGTGCAGCGTAAAGTGCACCAAAAATTTTACTACGCGCCCACCCGCATCTTAGCAGAAGAACACTTCAAAGAGGGTCGCCAGTGCCAGTGCCAGTACCAGTGCCATTGCCACATCGCCGCCGCGGCCGATAACTGCCTTTATTTGTACACTGGTAAAAAAAAATTATAAAAAAATATACGAAACACCCGTTTGTCGTATAGCAGAACCACCTAACGGTTTGCGGCGTATGTTTGGAACTGGCTTTACCGAGCATATATTGTTCGGTATTTGCTATGGGAAAATTTTAAAAGTGGTATTGTGTATGAGTTTGTGTCTGGCACAATGAATGAGTGAGTAAGTAGATAAGTGAGAAAATTGATGAGAGTACATGAGAATGCTTCCTTTGTTGGTTAGGAGAATGTATGCAATCGTCCATGTTCGAGTGTTTGCAATACATCTCACTTTTCGCGAAAATGGGGTGGAAAATAAGACAATATTTTTGAATAGAGTCATTTGAATGCCGAAAAAGTATGTGTAGGTTTCCAAAAAAAAAAAAAATAGTTGAAAATTTAACGCAGTTTAAATCTTCAGAGAAACTTTAAAGCATTGGAATATCTTTAATGAAAATATTACTAAATCGTGCCTTTTTCAGATTCCTATATATCATATAGAAATGACTAAAAAAAACTTAAGAAAATTGATATATTTACTAAACCAATATTTTAATAATAAAATAAAATATTATTATTACATTTTGAATCTCCAAAAAGCGAGTTAAATGTAATTTTTGTTTAAATTTATTTTTATATCTTTGTTATTAACTCGAATGCCTAGAATAGGTTGGGAGGGCGTGATATTGCAAATATCCTTAATACTTTCATACTGAGACACCCATTGCCCACTGTGATGTTTTCATAGTTCCCAGTGAAACAGTGGTTTTCATTGTTATTCATTTAGCTATTCAAACAAAGTTAAGCATATCCGTTAAGTTGACTTTCGTTATCTCTACCAGACTAGTAAATAAACGATATCATAGACATTAATAAATCAGTAACTAACTTAACAATTTCAATTTTTGTTTCAAGTGTCTCAATTATGGAATAAGTTTCAAGATATAACGGTATTATAAGAAAAGTGAAAATGTTAATTTTCTAAATTAATAATTTGATTTATTAATTTATTTCAAAATTTAAAGGTAAACCAACTAATAGAAGGATAGAAAATGTATGACACTACCTTAGAAAAATGAGTTTGTACAAAATTTGTTCATACAACGCCATTAGATCGTAGAAAATGAAACGCTTTAAAATGACTGATCCACCAAGAACTGTTATACAATGGTAAAAAAAGAGGAGGAACTTAAATGATTCAATTTAATAATTTTCTTCAGAAAGAAACATAGTTTATATAAAATTTTTAATAGTTGTATTTACCATAAAAAATATTCAGCAAATATAGCTCATATGGTAAAATAATAGGTCAAGATTAAACAAGATTGATAAAAACAAAGAGGGGTTATCAACAGAGATGTTTCTGAAGGTGTGCTTAAGTTATAGTCCACTTTAAAAGTGAACTTACAATAATGATTTATAAAATAATGTTATACATATGTGTTGTTTTATAATAAATGACGTTTTTTCTACAATTACTGTATAATACATTATAATACTATAATATAATTATATAATTAATATAATTATATATTATAATATTATTATTGTATTACTTGATTATTCTTTTACAATTCAAGACTTATTATTCTTAAGATCGTGTCCTCCGCTGACAAGATCCAGCAAGATGCTAGACTGTACGACTGCACATACTGATTACGCAGATATTTTTTTTAAATAATCTATAAGCATTGCATAATAGCATAATAAGCATAGCTTTTTTTTTTTTGTTTTCTGATCTGTCATTTATATGTGATAATATAATATCACTATATAACATATATAATAGAATAATATAATAATATTATTTATAATATATTACCCGATCAATTAGAGACTAAATACTAGAATTGTGTTTTAATACAAAAATCGTTAAAAGATTTATACCCTTTTTTTTTATTCAATTACACAAATATCCTTATATATCCTATTATTATCTTACCTTATAATGAAGAATGGGATATTCAAAGTTATACTATTTAATCTGTAGAGAGTTATTTTCGTTTTGTCTTAAATGTAAAGTTTATATATTATTTATTGATTGTTTGTTAAAAAATGACACTTAAGAACAAACGCCTAACTATCTGTTTATTTAGCTATTTATGCTCAGGTAGTGTTTTTCGACTTGGAAACATAGTATACAGATAAAAAGATTTTATAATAAAAATATTCGATTTGGAAAACATTACCTGCCGTTACAAAAGCAATGGTAAAGGGCTTAAGTTCGTTACCATATTAAGCCATTACGACATAATGACAATTCTCGAAACCATTTTAAAGAAAAGTGTTATTAATGCATCAGATATGCCTCTTTGAATAGTTGGAATAGAATAATAGAATAATCATTACCATATTAAGCCATTTCGACATAGTGACAATTCTCGAAAGAATTTTAAAGAAAAATGTTATGTGAGATATGCCTCTTGAATAATATATAATATACTATATAAATATAAGAATAATATACTATATTATATGAATATGTGTGGAATAATAATATAGAATAATATGTGTGCTATATAATGTATATTCTATATTCTTCATAAATAATATAGAATAATATGCGTACTATCAATAGTGCAAACTTTTTTTTGTCTATCCCAACTTCTATACTTAAGTTTAATTATCTCTTGAAAAAACTGACAAAATTTTAATGTCTAATTTGGTTTCTCTTAAATTGCTTTAAAATTACTAAACATATTTGATATAAAAATAATATATATATAATTAACACTAAGGATGATATACGTTTAGTTCGAAATATTCGTAGTAAAATTTTAATTTTAAAAAAATTTATAAAAAATTTAACAAGAACTCAATAAATTTTACTTATTAACAATTTGAGTATTAAATACACGACCCTAAGCCCGGTTAAATGAAATTTTATCTCTAATTTAAGAAATATAAATTAATTTGCTTATACTTTTTAGCAAATTTAAACCTCTAAGACATTCTTTAAAACATCCATTAAATATACAACGCACTCTAATATGCATCCTTTTAACCCAAATTTCTATTGGTGCAGAATCGCTAATTTCACTTTCACGTGTTGAAAGCCGCGCACCTTTGAACCAAAGCAGCAATCGACAAGCAACGAACAAAAAAAAAACACAAATTATAAATAAATGCACCCAAAAAGGACTTGAACAACTTCACTTGCATTACGCTTATGGCCCTTAAAGGATATGCAGTACAACAAATGTTGCCACACTAAAACGGAATGTCTGAAAGTCTGTGTCTATCTGCCTACTCGACTGCCTTGTAGCCTGCTTTGCGTTTGCTTGTGCACGTTCCGTGCGAGCAATGTGTATTTTATACGTACTACGAACGTACGTACGTACGAGTATACAACGAAATCGAGATGCGTTTGCATCGATACTTTGTGCCGTGTCAAGGCTAAAAGGATTTTCACTGCCATTGCATTTCGAACACATACGCGAATACAATCGTCGTAATGTCGTCGTTTACAGTTGTTGTCGGTATTTCGTTATTGTTATTGCTGTTGTTGTTGTTGTCACCATCGACATCAACATCGCCATTGCCATCGCCATCGCTGTTGCCATCGCCATCGTCAACGTCATCAGATTCAGTGTGTTGGCTTACTGCATTGCTAGGTTATATTCTGTTGTAGTTGTTATGATTACTTCTGAATTTGTTTGTTGCTTTTGTTGTTGTTGTTGTTGTTTTCATACACTGCATCACATCCTTTTGAAGACTTGCATGCAATGTTGTACGAGTGCATTTACCTCTGCGGTTTATATACGCCGTCGTTTGTGTTATGCTACGTGTTCGTGCATCCGTATTCGTAGCCTGATTCTGTTTATTGGCCTTGTATTCCGAATATTTGTACATGTAGATATCAATGCACGTCGTTGTCGTAGCTGTTGCTGTTGCTGTTGTTGCAACAGCTCTCGTTGTTCTTGTTGTTCTTGTTGTTTGTGCTGGTAATGAAAATAGGTTGCCGTGAAATCTCGCTGTTGATATGTTTCTTGTTGTTGCTACTTTGAATATTCTTGTTGTTGTTGTTGTTGTTGTTGTTTGAAGCATATTTCGGCGCAAATGACCTCCAAAATTTAAGCCTCTTTCCAAATTGTATATCGTTAGCTTACAGCGTATTTTCGCCTTTTCATTTCCCATTTTGCCATTTTCGAGTGTGGCAAGGTTAAGTTTATGATATTTGGTCTGTCTTTTATTAAATTGGGTTGAAGGAATTTGCTTCAATTTTATTCAGAGCTCTTTAAATTTTGAATTGAATTCCGAGATTGTTGTTGTTATCAAATTTTTAAAAAAAAAATATAATATATGTTTTCAAATGTATTTATGAGTCTGAATAGAAAGATTTAAAGTTGGTTGTTTATTTTTATGTTACCATGATTATAGATATTTTTAATATTTATAGATAATAATCCGTTTATATAACACCATCCGATGTTGTAATAATACTCCATCCTGAGGAAGAAGTCAAATAAACTTCCAAACATTTATAAACTTCCAAAATTAGATAAAATTTTAAAATGTATATATTAAGTTCCAAATAACTTAAAAACTAAAGAGCGCTATGTTTTTAATAAAAATATAAAAAATTTTTATGAATATTTTGTATGGGGAGTGGCCTACATAGTGGGTAAAGTGTTTCGAGACTTTCTCTTAAATTTAATTTTTCTAACTATTATAGTTTTTGAGATATTTAAAAAAATTGAAAAGTTGACGATGTTTGTATAAATTGTGGATGTCACAAGTCAATTGCTCTCAAAATACATACAAAAGAAAGTCCATCTCAAAAACTATACTTAAAGAAAATTTCAATTTAATGCCCCTTAACTAATTTTGATCATCTAATTTTAATTAGATGAAACTATTTATCGACGATATTTATATATATAATATGGTCTACGAAGTAGACTGAAATATATGTTAAATATATATCTACAATGTAGATAGAT